CTACTTTTACAACTGTTGATAACGTTTATATCAAAATATTCATAGAGATCTAATATTTATGTTAAGTTCAGTGGAAGTTTTTGTTAAAATGGGTTAAGGAAACGTAATTAAATACATTCATAGCAGTAGTAATAGTGGCAATAATTTACTTGCAAGTTTACTACTTTAAAGATAAATAAAACTACCACGCACACTACTACCTGTTACCACCATAATTGACACTACTACCTGTTGAAATGTACCTTTTCATTTACCTGAAGAAGCGTTTTCGGTGAAATGAAGTTTCGATTGTTGGAAGCAATTGTCCTCCGTGAAACTTTTCTGGATGAAAAGCTGGGTGAAGCGACGTGCCACGTGACTACACTTTCTTTAATTTTGATGCGTTGCACTCACGAAAAAAATGATCTAGGCACTACGGATTTTCACTATTGTGGAGGATAAAATTGACGTGACAACGCGTGTGCGGCAGGTCTGTCGATGTGCCACACATTAAATGATTTACAGTCTGACTGACCGTATGTCGTCAACTTTATCTGTCGAATCTGCGAGCAGAACGTATTTCTTCCGGTTAAGAGAAATACATGAGTGAATTCAAGACCAAGAAGGATGGACAAACACGAAGAACAAAGCAAGATTGTCGGGTGAATCCCTACTCGATACGCAGCCGGAAGGTTCTTTTGTGCGCGGTTTATTTAAACATCTTCGTGGCAACGCAACACAATCTTAGCTTCGTTCGACCTACAATCGATTAAAATTTTGAACTGAATTGATTGTTTAATGCTTACGATCTGAAGAAATGAATTCTTAAAAATTATGATTTATTAATAGAAATATGAATCTTAATTATTTTTTTAAATTGTAGTTATTAATTAAATATGTCAACTATAATCGTTAATCGTCGATTGCATTAGATTTGTGTTTAAATATATGTCACAAACGAATATAAGACACAGTATTACTTTATTCAAATTGATATTGTTTGAATTATAATACACAGGAGTTTTGCTTCTTTCGTATGTTTAATATCTTTATTTAATATTCTATAACTGATCCAGAACATTCAAAGCATTTGTTCTTCTTTCTTCTTTGCTTAAGATTTTCTGTTTGATTGTTAAGTGCTGAAAGAAGTGCACTTTAAAGTGAAATGTTCATGGAACAAAAGTATTTTCTATTCGGCTATTTTACATACTTATTAAATCAGAACCAATATTGATTTTCTGTTTGATATATTGTAACTCGTTTAAAACCATGGAGTGGAAAGTCAGTACAGCAATTCTTGTGAATAATTCTGATATACCATCTCCTGTTTTAGATGATACAGCCCAGAATTCAGCTTTCAATTTCTGTGCCACAACAATAGCTCTCTTCTCTATTATTCTATATATTTGATTCGACTGAAAAATATTATTTCTAATCAGACTGAATTTATATTCAGCTCTGTATAGTATCTCATTAATATAGAAAATCTATGTGATTTACCAACAAATCTCGTTTTGTGCCTACTAGAAACACATGGTACGGTTCTCTATTACTTTTGGCAGCTTCGGATAACCATCGTTCACAATGTCCCAAAGATATTAAATTGCTCAAATCAAATGTAACAACAATCACTAAAAAATAAAAATAAATAATTCCTTTACTACTATACTACTAGTATGACATGCTGATAATTACCATTTGCACCCCTGTAATAAGAAGCTGCAATAGATTTAAATCTTTCTTGACCAGCTGTGTCCCATCTAAAGCAAATAGAAAAGACAATAATAACAGTTTTAGTGAAATGTATAAAATATGATTAATATCAGTGAATAGATATATTTATGGAAAACTTACATTTGTAAATGAAAAGGTATGCCAAGGATGTCAAATGTCTCCACTTCAAAATCTACTCCAATTGTTGCTTTGTAGTTAGCATCAAATGTTTTATGGCAAAATCTGTAATGTAAACAATATTAAATTTTGTTCTTATTTTATAATCTTTTATTATACTTGTATGTGTGTGTGTAATAAATATAGTTACCGATTCACTAAACATGATTTTCCGACAGAAACGTCTCCTACTATTATCGTTTTCGAAATTCTCAGAGACAAACTTTTCGACGCACATGATCGCCTAACAAGCGTACTGAAGTTTGTTTCATTGTATGGCGTGATGTCGGATGAAAATGGTGGCGGCCAATTATCGATCTAAATAAAATTATGTATGTAGTGATTATGTATATGTATATATATAGTATTGCATATAATACATTTGAAAAATAAGGTTCCTGCGTGTTATTCTTATAAATAAATAATAAAACGACATGTAATGTTACTTTGCAACCTTTAAAGAACATACATATATCAAATGAAAAATTCGAATGCAACGTTAATAAATATTTATATTTTACACAGTCAAAAATTCACTAAATCTTGTCTATTGAATTTCTTGACGTCTACCATTTCTCTTCACACACACAATGCAATGATTAAAATAAAAGTATATTTGAATCATACCTGTCTATCATACCGCGCAACTTCTAACATTTTATAAACAGCCGAACGCGTTTCTAGCATTACTTGCACAGCATGTAATTTTTACTTTGTAATTGAAATTTAAATTTTGTAATGTATCAACGGTTTAGTTAATTCTACTATTTACAAATTTGACTAAATTACTGCATTTAGACATATTACTAGGACAACATACAAGTTACAAAGCTTCAGAGAACAATAACGTATTATAGAATGCACCCTCATTGCCAGCAGAAATAATTTTCACCTAAATAAAAACATTGGTTGCTGTGGCAGGTGTACACTTATCTATGTACGTACATATTTCTTATTTGAGCATTTATATTACGCACGAATAAAAATAATAATCTAATTCGCACTCCTTGAAGTAATAAATTAATATTATTTATTGTAATACTTTTGCATTATTATTTAAATTACATGAAGTTGTAGAATAAAAGTATATGTGCGCGTGTGTATTTATTGTAATTTGAATCGTAAAAGAACAAATCACATATGTATTACAGCTTCAATAATTTGAATTGTTACACATACTTCTGAAAACTAGGATAAATTTGTAATAAAATTGCGATAACTTTATATTTGAAAAAATTTAATGAATTTTATATGTTTCTAAGAAGTATTGAATTAGGATATCAACAATTAACGTATTGAATCAATCTTCCATACGTCTACTTCCGGTTAGTGCTGTCGTTCTTTTTAGCAAGATGGCTCCAAAACCTAAACCCACGGACAAAGCAGGTACTTTTAAAAAACCGTAAATAAAACAGAAATATCTTCGAAAATGTTGTAAAAGTAGTTCGAAAATATCAAACAAATGATAAATATAAATATGTTTATAAAATAGGTGATATGTAACGTCATTTCATAAATTTATCATTACTTGCAACATTAGCCATGTGGTTGGTTCTGTATGTGCACTAGTAAACATTTTTATACAACATATGAATAATCGTTTTATTTTGCCAGTATCTGTTAAATAATTATTTTATACATTTAAGTTATGGATACAAATTGAAAGTATCAACTTGCGAAATTGTCATTCTGTAATTGTGTATGGTTACCATAACCTAAAAAAATGTGCGTCAATATTAACTTGCAATTCCAATTATTGTAAATGGAGATAATCATTAAATATGAGTTAATCAAAAATAAATATTGTATATATATATATATATGTATTGTATTAGTGAATTATTGTTTTATGGTTAAATTCATCGAATCTTTGTTTATAGCCGGTAAACCGGCTGAGAAGAAAACGGAGAAGAAAGCTGAGAAGAAGCCAGCAACAGCTGCTTCCACTTCAAAAGTGACGAAACCAGCTGCTAAGCCAGCAGCAAAGAAACCAGCAGCAGCTAAAGCCACAAATGCTGCTAAGCCCGCTACAAAACCAGCAACAAAGCCTACACCTAAGGTTGCTGCTAAACCACTCATCAGCAAACCCAAGAAGAATGTCCAGGCTACAAAGAAATCACCTAAAGGTGGAAAACCAGCGGGACCTGTTCAAAAGGCACTCAAAGTTCAGAAAAAGGTAAGATATCTTATTTATGCATATGATATAGTTGAATCTTGATAACTAAAACTTCTATAACACAATTTTCTTTCATTCTGCTTTTTCATGATGAAATATAATGGGGAATCTCTATGAAAATTTATGATTACATAATATCATACTGATTTGGGAAAGTTATAATATAAATACTGTTTTATTTATGCATATAATACAAGATATATTTGTGTTCTATAGATCTTGAGGTGTGTTCATGGATCAAGAGTAAGGAAAATAAGAACATCCGTACATTTCCATCGCCCGAAAACATACAGACCACCAAGAAATCCAAAGTATACCAGAAAATCAGTACCAAACAGGAATCGGTAAGTTCTAATATAATTTGTAAATAATTAAGTACAATTCAAATTTGTTTTTATAATGAAAACAATTATAAATACTTTTTCAGTATGGATGCTTTTAATATCATCAAATTCCCATTGACCACTGAAGCAGCCATGAAAAAGATTGAAGACAACAACACGTTAGTTTTTATTGCACACACGCGGGCTAACAAATACCACATTAAGGCATCTATCAAAAAGTTGTATGATGTTGATGTAGCCAAAGTTAACACTTTAATCAGGCCTGATGGTAAAAAGAAAGCATATGTGCGGTTAACGCGTGATTACGACGCACTCGATGTTGCAAATAAAATTGGTATAATATAAATATATCGATACATGATGTGTATAGGAGTTGCGATATGTCTGTACTGATAATAAATATTGGTATAAAAATAGTTTTATTTATTTTATTCCTTAAGTTCTATATCCCTTGGAAAACAGTGTTATAAAATAAATTTTAGATATATACTTTTGGAAAATTGAACTTTATTATTAAAACAATTTGTATTATTGAATATTTTATTTTTCACAATATGTAAAATAAAATAAGTTAGTACGTGACAATTCACGTAATTTCATTGCAAGAACATTATAAGTGGTGTAATACGTCATTCTTCATATATACACATTCAGATGGTAATTACAATCCTAATCTGCCTGGAGTTTTACGGTAAGGTGCTGGAGTTCCTGGCTCCCTGATACCAGGTGTTAATATTTCTTTTCTGTAATAAAATAATAGAAAAATGAAGTAACGAACAACAACATTGTAAAGTGCATAACTAAAAATAGTATGGTAACTTACTTTCTGATAGAAGCCTGCTCACGTTCCAGTTGTTCCTGAGCTCTAGCTTTCATCTCCTCCTCTGCTTCCTTCATTTGTCCTTCCATTTCATGCAAATGCTGCATCGCTTTTCGTCTCTTCGCTCGTCCGCTTCTTCCAGTTTCCTTCACGCTGAAGAACATAGGACCTAACTCGGCAAGCCAGTGTCCGTCAACGGCAGTGACACACTGCATGTACTCTTTAGCCGTCATAACAAGCTCATGGTACACCACATAATCCGGTGTGAATCCCATACCAAACAAAGCGGAAGTTGGATGGAGATGGCATGGCATTCCGGTACGGCAATTAACGTATTCGCCAATACCCTTCAGTCTGGCTGCTTGGTGGAAATATGCCGAACAAATGCACTTCCGAACGATATCCCAGTCTGTGCCACAGCTCACAACCTCCATTTTCTGCTGCTTTAGAATCTCTTCAAGTTGCTGTCGCACTTCTCTTACTTTACGCATGGCTTTCGCATGAATGAAATGGTCGTTACACCATGAACTCGAATAGCCATTTGTTTTCCACTGATTGTATACGTTTAAGTACGTCAAATGATCGGATTCTGGTACTTGGAACTTCTCCCTCGCTGAATCAGAATCCTCCTCGCGCCCTTTGGGTCTATAGAATATCGACGGCACTGATAACATTGAAACTGAAAAGAAAACACATTATTCATGAAACCGTTTTCGCTTGAAAAAGTTATATAATTTTCTGAACATACCTATGATAAGTATGTCAGCAGTACATCCCAGTTGGGAAGCCACTATTAACATTTGGCACTGGGGAGGGTCCAAAGGAAACTCTGCCATTTGACGTCCTAAAGGCGTAAGACGTCCTGTGTGATCCAAAGCGCCCAAGATCCATAGCTGATACAACGAATTCAATATATTGTCTTGAGGAGGAGGATCCATGAAATGAAACGCTAATAAATCCTGCACACCCAAAGATTTCAACAGTAACACAGTGTTAGCAAGATTGGTTCGCTGTATTTCTGGGACTCCAGTTAGAAGTAACTCGTCTAAGTATTGCCTTCTGGTGTATAATCTAAAACATGTGCCAGGACCAGTACGTCCTGCTCTTCCAGCTCGTTGATCAGCGTTAGCTCTAGACACAGGATACACTTGTAAAGCATCCATACCAATTCGTGGATTGTAAACCTTTAGCTTGCAGTATCCAGAATCAACGACGAATACAATACCGTCTACGGTCAACGAAGTTTCTGCGATATTGGTAGCCACAACACATTTTCGCAGACCTCCTTCAGAACGCTGAAAGATCTTAGCCTGCAAGTCTGAGGGTAATTGTGAATAGATTGGTAGAATAGAAAGTAGTGGAGCTGATTCGATTTCGGCTAATCGCTCTTTCAACGCTTCACAGGTGACTTCAATGTCTTCTTGACCAGGCATGAATACCAATACATCGCCAGAACGTGGTTGTAAATGTATTTGCAACACCTGTTTTACAGCAGCATCTACATAGTCATCTACTGCGTTCTTTGCGTGTAATATTTCTACTGGGAATGTGCGACCTGGAATTTGAAACGTCGCAGCATTTCCGAAAAACGCCGAGAATTTACTGGAATCCATAGTAGCGGATGTTACGATTAATTTTAAATCGTGCCTCCTAGCTACAACCTGTAATATTAAGCATTAATAATAATATTATTAAGCATTAATAGCTATTACTCAAATCTCATTATAAATAGTAAAAATGCATACTTCTCTGAGCAAACCAAATAACACATCGGTAGATAAAGATCTCTCGTGAGCTTCGTCCATAATGATGACACTATATCGATCCAAGTCTCCTTCTCTTAAACTTTCTCTCAATAAAATACCATCAGTCATATACTTAATAACAGTCTACGAGAAGAAATATTAAAGAAATAATAACTTAAGCAATTTTTATTAAGGTTAGTAATATTGTTTAAGGATAATACATACATCTTTTGAAGTACAATCTTCAAAACGAATAGCATAGCCAACTTTATCTCCTAAGCTAGTAGCCATCTCATCAGAAACTCTTTTAGCTACAGACATAGCTGCTACTCTTCTAGGTTGCGTGCACCCAATTATTCCATTACGGCTATATCCATCTTCATGGAGATATTGTGTTAATTGTGTTGTTTTTCCACTACCAGTTTCTCCAATTATAACTACAACACTGTTTTCTCTAATAACGTTTAACAGTTCTTGGCGTACCGCAAACACAGGTAGGCTTCTCCTTTGATGTTGAATAGTTCTGTATTTAGCTTCTCCTGTAACTTCATCAGCTCCTATGTGGCGAGCGTATTTCTGACCAGCTTTAAAATCGTGCTCTTGTCCTGGTTCTTCTTTGTCTTCTTTATTCCTATCACGAACACCCATAATGTTTCCAATATGAGTTCCAGCTAGCTCCCAATGTTTTTTCTGAGCTCTACGCCGCTCTTTCTGTTCACGGTATGCCCGTACTAATGCTGAACCTTTCCTTGCAACAAGAGCCATATCAGAAGTGGGATCACGTACAGGTACTACAGGTTCAGGCTGTTTAGTGAATACAATTCGACCTACAAAATTCCATATCAAATTTAGATTTTAATAAACGGCAAAATATCAATTAGCAGTAGGCAGATTTTTAAAATATATTTTACCATCTAAAAATGGTGGGACAACATTGTGAACCAAGAGGTGCACTCTAGTTTCACCCTCATCATCAGGATCGTCATCATGGTCTAATGAACTTACAACTCCAGATGTTAACATTCTATTACGCTCCCACAATTCATTATCCTTATTTATTTGCCTTTGTTGCGCAGAGAGACGTTTTTGTCTTTTTGCCTCGAGTTCCATTTCCTTTTTACGTGTATACTCCTCGGACACGTCAGCAAATGCATGGTTCTCTCCATCATCTAAGGCATACCATTCCCTGTCCAATCTAAAAACAAACATTTAGTTGTAGTTAATGAAATAATTGAAAACATACTTGCTAAAAGCATTATAAAAATGGATACCTCTGTTGTTCTTCTTCCCACAACTCTTTTTCTTCTCCGTCTACCATGGGAGTAGCACCACTGGCTTTATCTTTATTCCAAGAATTATATTTATACGAAGGAGTGAATTCACTTCTAGTACTTTCACGGCTGTCTCTGTTGCTATAAAGATTCGGTGTTGGATGATCCCAACTTGACTTTCTTGGTTCTTCATCTTCATCATCGTCCCAATTACTTCTGGATGTTGGATCCTATAAAAGTCATAAATCATAATTATTCCATCTAATTAGAAATGATAACTTTCATTGTAATCACCTAAAATTCTATCTTTACTTTTGTTTTAAATACTGGCGTCTGCGGTTCATCTTTGAATCTCAAAGGCGTTTGTCTAACACTGCCTCTGCTTCTACTCTTCTCTCTTTCTCTATCCCTATCTCTATCTCTGTCCCTATCTCTACTTCTGTCTCTTCTTCGAGAATCGCTGTCTCTACTATGCTCTCTATGATGCCTGTGATGCTTGTCCTGAGCACTTAGTCTCTGATGTTTCAGTCGAGATTCTAATCTTCTTTGTGCTTCAGAATTTACTCCACCAGTATGGGTTGGTGTTTCCTCAGCATATGATCTGTATTTTCTTTCTTTAACCTCTGAATCCGGTGAGTGTGATCTTGTCGAATTCGACTCTTGTGCATTTTCTTGTCTTTTTCGTTTTGCAAGCTTATCAAGACCCAGAACAGACATCTGAGGCTTCTTAAATGTGTGATCAGAAGGCTTTTTGCGGATAATTAAACCTCCACCTTGACTTTTGTCAGTACCTTCTAACCTATATAAGCTTGAATCGTTTGAGCTATCCATTTTAACTGAAAGTAATATTTGTAATTATTAACGCATTGAACATTATTCTATAATTACACAATATAAACACTACGATTCAATCACTTTTGACGCACTTTATTTACATACTTACTACGATAAACAACAACTATACATATTCATAGCAATTCATAGGTATACTGCAACATAGATGGCAAAAATCTTATACATTAGTGGTCAAACTGTCAGACTGACAGCTCTGTATACTTTGTGGACATAGAGTATTTAATTGTATACAGTTAACTAAAATAAGTTTTTAGTCACTGTTTGGATTGATGATTGAAATAACTATTTAATTCTTAATTGAATTAACACTTTATTACAAAATAAATATTTGAATATACAACTGTCAAATAGAATGATACGTACTGTATTTTTAATTACAAAGGTGATGTGTAGATATGCTACATGTACTATATGTATAAGTTGTATATGTACGTAAGTCACTGTTTGTATTTCCGTCATACAGTAGAAGCAGAAGTTGATGATGCATAGAGTTCTAACAAAACACTAAATTCATATTATGGTCTTAAAAGACTATAACTATACAAAATTTGTGCCCGTTAGAAATTATATAATTAAATATATGTAAAACATAATGTGCAATTACAGCTAGATGAAGTACTTCATATCATAAAAAATGATACGATAAAACAAAGATAATCGCAACCGATAACGGCATCTTTTGTTTCATATTGAATTACATTTCTCATTGTTAAATCTAAAGAGCTAAGAAAATGTCAATAATGGAAATGTTTCATTTAACTCATCCTGAGGTACTGTCAGAACCTGAGCTTCGGGAAATCTTAGAAAATGTAAGCCCGTAAGGTTATGTTTACTAACACTTTGTTTTTATTATTTATCCGTTGTAAGTTAATTGTTTTTACTGAATTAAACTATTACTTATGCAAGAATAGATTCATTTGAAATGAAGCTATCTATTATGCATATAAGTCAGCCTTAAACTATGATTCATTATTTAAGCAAAAGAATATTTGACATTTAGATGTGTATTGTAATTAAACACATACATATTTATTTGTTTGCAGTGTTGCATCGACTTTAATAATTATAAACATTTATCCAGATCTCAGTTAATAGAATTATACAAACGTGTGGCAATGCCTTTGCCCAAAAGAGAAGATGAAAATTCTGAAAATTTGGATAATAAAAAGATTAATGATCAAGAGAAAAAGAATTCTGTAGATGATTGTCAGAGAGACATAGCTTCATTGTAAGTAATTTATTGCTACTCAAAATTTGGGATAGTTACGTATGTTAACTTTTTTCCAAAAAGATTCGTGTCAATATACATTTTATGTTGCAATAAAATAAAATAATGTTTTTATATAATACTTTTTATAGAAATGGTACACATAATACAAAAAGAAGTATAAGTGAAATAAAATCATCTCCATCTTCTTGTGCGACAAAACCAAAATCTCCTGTGAATGAATTTAAACAAACATCTAAGAAGATACGTTTATGTAATTCAAACAATCTGAGAGATTTCAATGATTCTGATAAACGTATTAATGATGGGAAGCACGATGTACGTACATTTATTATTCATAAATCTACATAAGAAAACTATGAATTATATGGATTTTCTATAGATGGACATCGTATGTTAAGGTACAACATATTTCTTATTAATTGAATTAAAAGTAATTTAGAAACGGTATTTTTCAGGAAGCTCCATCAAAGAAAAGACAGAAGATTACATGGCCATAATAGTATTATATTTTTAAATAATAATAATGTATAAAGATTATTTTCATAAGAACATGCTTGTTGATCTCGTTAGCTGTGAGAAATCGTATCCAGAAATCTGCACAAATTAATCTAACTAACTTCANGTAATTATTAACGCATTGAACATTATTCTATAATTACACAATATAAACACTACGATTCAATCACTTTTGACGCACTTTATTTACATACTTACTACGATAAACAACAACTATACATATTCATAGCAATTCATAGGTATACTGCAACATAGATGGCAAAAATCTTATACATTAGTGGTCAAACTGTCAGACTGACAGCTCTGTATACTTTGTGGACATAGAGTATTTAATTGTATACAGTTAACTAAAATAAGTTTTTAGTCACTGTTTGGATTGATGATTGAAATAACTATTTAATTCTTAATTGAATTAACACTTTATTACAAAATAAATATTTGAATATACAACTGTCAAATAGAATGATACGTACTGTATTTTTAATTACAAAGGTGATGTGTAGATATGCTACATGTACTATATGTATAAGTTGTATATGTACGTAAGTCACTGTTTGTATTTCCGTCATACAGTAGAAGCAGAAGTTGATGATGCATAGAGTTCTAACAAAACACTAAATTCATATTATGGTCTTAAAAGACTATAACTATACAAAATTTGTGCCCGTTAGAAATTATATAATTAAATATATGTAAAACATAATGTGCAATTACAGCTAGATGAAGTACTTCATATCATAAAAAATGATACGATAAAACAAAGATAATCGCAACCGATAACGGCATCTTTTGTTTCATATTGAATTACATTTCTCATTGTTAAATCTAAAGAGCTAAGAAAATGTCAATAATGGAAATGTTTCATTTAACTCATCCTGAGGTACTGTCAGAACCTGAGCTTCGGGAAATCTTAGAAAATGTAAGCCCGTAAGGTTATGTTTACTAACACTTTGTTTTTATTATTTATCCGTTGTAAGTTAATTGTTTTTACTGAATTAAACTATTACTTATGCAAGAATAGATTCATTTGAAATGAAGCTATCTATTATGCATATAAGTCAGCCTTAAACTATGATTCATTATTTAAGCAAAAGAATATTTGACATTTAGATGTGTATTGTAATTAAACACATACATATTTATTTGTTTGCAGTGTTGCATCGACTTTAATAATTATAAACATTTATCCAGATCTCAGTTAATAGAATTATACAAACGTGTGGCAATGCCTTTGCCCAAAAGAGAAGATGAAAATTCTGAAAATTTGGATAATAAAAAGATTAATGATCAAGAGAAAAAGAATTCTGTAGATGATTGTCAGAGAGACATAGCTTCATTGTAAGTAATTTATTGCTACTCAAAATTTGGGATAGTTACGTATGTTAACTTTTTTCCAAAAAGATTCGTGTCAATATACATTTTATGTTGCAATAAAATAAAATAATGTTTTTATATAATACTTTTTATAGAAATGGTACACATAATACAAAAAGAAGTATAAGTGAAATAAAATCATCTCCATCTTCTTGTGCGACAAAACCAAAATCTCCTGTGAATGAATTTAAACAAACATCTAAGAAGATACGTTTATGTAATTCAAACAATCTGAGAGATTTCAATGATTCTGATAAACGTATTAATGATGGGAAGCACGATGTACGTACATTTATTATTCATAAATCTACATAAGAAAACTATGAATTATATGGATTTTCTATAGATGGACATCGTATGTTAAGGTACAACATATTTCTTATTAATTGAATTAAAAGTAATTTAGAAACGGTATTTTTCAGGAAGCTCCATCAAAGAAAAGACAGAAGATTACATGGCCATAATAGTATTATATTTTTAAATAATAATAATGTATAAAGATTATTTTCATAAGAACATGCTTGTTGATCTCGTTAGCTGTGAGAAATCGTATCCAGAAATCTGCACAAATTAATCTAACTAACTTCA